AGACCCACTCTTCAAAAGGGAGGCTGCCCATCCCCGAAGTTGCTGCAACACTGGACTGCATGGCGCTGACACCCCAGTTACTTATTTCCGAAGGGACCCATGGCCACTTCCTGAAGTCACAGTGCCTCCTTGAAGGAAGAATGACCAGACATTTCTGAGACTGTTGGATGCAGGGTCCGAGATGGTGCTGACATACAAGGATCTGCACACAGGTGCGCCCAGAGGTGTGTCTCCTGGGGGATTCCAAGCCTACTCCACCTCCCACCTCCCACATATCAGAAGGAAACTCGGCAGCAGACAGGCCTCTGGAGCTTCCGCGAGCAACACACCACACAGCTGACAAATGCTACTCACTCCACGTCATTTTACCAAGTGACTTGGAGGGCTGGCATCTTTGAGATGGCCCCAGGCAGAGAGGGTTCTGCAACAGCTCCAGCCTGAGGACAAGAAGCCCAGCAGATTTGGGTGACAGATGGATCTGTGTTGGGGAAAGACACTATGAATTTATGGAGAGCCCCAATAGGAGAGTGGCAACACAGATCCCCAGGGTTCTGGAACAAGGCCCTGCCATCTGGAGTGGAAAATTATGCAGTGTTTGAAAAATAGCTTTCACACGGGGCTTGGGAGCTGTGGGGCCAGGTTCAGCCTGATAGAGACAGCTTCGATGACACTTCATGAGCACAGAGGGCCAATCTATAGGACACGTCCGCATGCAAATGAGTGATTGTTTCATGGTGCTGGGTCTCCAGGAGGTGCCATAGGTGGATGGATGTGGGGACTGGGAGGGAAAGGGAGAGCAGCTAACTGTCTCACTCAGTGACTCGCTCAGCCCCCTCCTCGTCCTCCTTCCTGTGTATATGCTCACATGATATGTGTGTGGGTTGCACACTCCACTGTGCATGCGTGGAGGTCATAGGACAACTTTGTAAGGAGTCTGTTCTCTCTTGCCACTTTTCCGTGGCTTCCGGGCTTTGAGTTTCTCGTTCAAAGTCCTGGCTTGTGCAGCCGGTGGCTTTTTCTGCTGAGCCATTTTGCTGGCTCCAGAGAAATACTGTTCTTTTTTTTTTGTTTGTTTTGTGTGTTTTCAAGACAGGGTTTCTCTGTGTAGCCTTGACTGTCCTGGAACTCACCCTGTAGACAAGGCTGGCCTCGAACTCAGAGATCCGGCTGCCTCAGCTTCCTGAATATTGGATTAGAGGCGTACGCCACCACCATGCCCGGCTTTTTCTTAACATCCTAGACACAGGTTAAGCTCTGTGTGTCTAGAAGTCTCCTCTGGTTGCCAAACAGGAACACTTTCACCTATACCTGCTACCTGGCCATTTCTTTGTGCCAAAAAGCTAGAGGGTTAGGAAAGAGTCACCATATTACTGGAGTTGTTGATTTGGCCAGTTGGCAGGAGAAAGCAGGATGGCATCTATATACTGTGGGCGGGGAAACCAGTGGGGAGTGTCCCTTGGTGTCCTGCAGGCCCTCAACTCTCTGCTTTTTTTAGTTTGTCTTATGTGTATGGGTGTTTGTCTGCATGTATGTGTGCGCACTGTGTGTGTCTGGTGCCTGCTGAGGTCAGGGAGGGTGTCACCAGGAGCTGGAATCATGGGTGATTGCATGCCATTATGTGGGTGCTGGGAACCGAACCCAGGCCCTCTGCAACAGCAACAAGGGCTCCTAACTGCTGAACCATCTCTTTAGCTGCCTCTACTTTTTTAAAGCTTCTTACTGTCTAGCCCAGACTAGCTTCAAACTAGAAATTCTGCTGTTTCAGCATCCCGAGTGCTGGGGCCACAGGCATGTGTAACCTAAATCTGGCCTGTCTTTGGCCATCTTTCACTACAGACGAATAATTCAGCAGCCGCAAACTGAGAAGGACATGGTGACTAGGGCCCCGTTAGGTAAAGCCTCTATAAAGAAGCTGTGATCTAAGGTCAAGGGGGCATTGGAGGGAGTCAGGGGAGCCAATGGAATGACCCTTGAGAAGAGCTGTAGCTACCATCAAATTGTGCTCAACCCACCGGGGGCTGCAACTTCCTTCTCCTTCCTTCCCCTCCCCCTCCCCCTTTGTTTCCCCTCCCCCCTTTCTCCCTTAGGCCCCTCTTCCTCCTCCTCCTCCTTCCCCGCTCCTTTTCTTGGGGGGAGGGTTTATTTTTGCCCATAGTTTTTAAGACTCCACTCCATCCTGGTGGGAAGCAGAGCTGCCGACACCAGGGTGACCAGGAAGCAGAGAAAGTGAGTGTCTGTGTCACAGAGGTGGCTCATTGGGTGGGGGCACTTGCCGCCCAGCCTGACCCCTGGAGTTCAACTGAGGACAGACCCAATTCCTTCAAGTTCTCCCGCTTCTGCCTGCTCAATGACACGTGTGCCCTCACCCCCTCCCCACGAAAAAATAATAAAAAGAGACTGCCCGGGTTGTGTTCTCTTAGCAAGAGGCCAAGGAGAATTCCAGAATCCACCTGTCCTAGCCAGGAGCTTGCAGTCTGAAGCAGGGGGACTCCAACAGCACAAAGGGTGGCCATGGTGGTTGCCGTGGTGACCACACCGCTATGGAGGTACGAGGCTCCTCACGTCCCAGCCCCTCCCACAGCATCTCTCTCTGCGAAGGGGGTGCCCCCCTAGGGTTGCACCCATGCTACTTGCGGCTCTGACAAAACAACTGGATGAACAGGGCACCTGACCATCTTACTCAAAGGGAAACTGAGGCCCAGGCTGCTACTCGGTTGTCTCCAGTTACACAGACAGTAGCAGAATTAGGTGTTAGCTCAAGTCTGTTGTGGCCCAAAGATGGCGCTGGAGTGACTCAGGAGTCCTGGTAGCCTGGAGATCCCACGAAGGGTGACACAGCTCGGTCCGTTTTACTGGCAGGTTATCTTTTATAAAATATTTTTTATTTTGTAGGTGGGTGTTTTTCTGCCTGCATATGTGTCTGTCATGTGTGTACCTTAGGCTTAAGGCATTAGATTCTCCCGGAACTGGGGTTAGAGACAGTCATGAGCTGCCATGTGGCTTCTGGGAATGAAACGCGGGTCTTCTGGAAGAATGGGCAGTGCTCTGAACTGCTGAGCCGTCTCTCCAGCCCTCCGCTAGTCAGCCACGGGATGCTGTCTTCTGAGAAGGTGCTGTCCCTTCAGAGGGTCCACAGCGCTGATGACGAGGTCCTGGTCCCATGCCTCTCTCCGCCTCCTGTTCTGTGCCTGCCTGACTCTCTCTCCTCACTTGCTCACCCCTGCCTCTTGGACTCAGTAAGCAGCCTCAACAGTCTCTCTCTCCAGGGTTCCCTGACCCGTCTCAGTACCAAGAGATTGAAGGGACACCACTGTGGTGGTATATTCCAATAGATACCCATGTCGCCCAGTCTGGGGGTTTGGAATCGATGATTCTAGGCTGTGTGTAATTTCAGGCAGATAATCTCTCTGTGCTCAGTCTTCTTGCCTGTGAAACGGGTATAACATGGTCCTCTGGAGAACACTGTATAGAACAGAGGATATGCAAGAAGAGTGTGTCCTCCTGAGAGGATCTCACCCCTTTCTGATGTTCCCTCTTTTTTTCTGTGTCTCCTCTGGGGTCCCAGACTGAGGAAGCCTTCATTTACATTTCAGAAGAAATACCAGACTCCAGGCTAGACCAAATAGTTTCTGGGTTCCTTAGGAGAATGCTTGGGGCCTTGCTGTCACACCCTGTCCCTCCTATGGCAACCGGGGGAAGCGCTCCCCCTTCTCCTTGACCTCTCCCCTTCTCTGCCTCTGCCCTCTCCTGCCTTCCTCGGGTCTCAGGGGCCTCAGCCTGCAGTGATCTTCGTGGTGTTCCTGCAACTCAATTGCTCGCTGATTCCCACACACGGTCTGTTGTTGCTACTTTTGATTAAATTTTCAGTCTCTTTTTTAGTTTATTTCTCCTGGGTCTTCTGGCTGGCATGGGGCAAGGGGAATATGGAGGCAGCTGAACTTTGGGGCGGGCTGGAAAGCTAGATGATGGGAGTGGTGGGGGAGGACGGCCATTTGTGGTTTGGGAGAGGCACCTGATACCATCAATATCAGTAGCCATGCGCTGGGGAGGGGCTCCTAGCGGATGCACCCCAGGAGGCACTTCCTGGGGTTCCCTCCCAGCTCATGCCCACCCCACACCTCCCCAGTCTTATTAGTTCCTTGGCAGCACCTGCAATACCTATGCATGCTACCCAGGGCCAGGCCTGTGGCTCTGCTCATCACATCTCCCGTCACTGGGGTGCCCAGCAGTCACCCGTCCGTGCTGTCTTGGTGGCGCCCAAACTGGTCCTGGGGAGGCCAGGGCAACTTCTGTCCTCCCTGCTTGTCCTTCTCATCAGCCTCTGCAGGAAGGGGAGTGCCCAGGGTGGTCAGAGGACAAGAGTCTGTTCTTGGGTGAGCATCCCGAAGCCCAAGACCCCATTGATCTGAGCAGTCCTATGACCTTGGACAGGTGTCACAGGCTTGACAGGCTCAAGACCTCGGATACTTTGAGGGGATTATCTAAAAAGTTAATAATTCTGCCCTTTTCCTTGTTCCATCTCCTGGCGTTTCTGAAGCCACGAGTGGTGTGTGTGGGGTCTTCTTCTCTTTCCCATCTTCTCATCCTCGTCGTCGTCTTCTAGATCAGAAGGCTCCTTACATGCTGGGAAAAAGTCCGGTGAAGTGACAATAGGAACTTCAAACTGGAGGGTCGAGGGAGCTTGCCAGCCAGGTGACTAGGAAGGGGACGGGAAAGACACGGAGTTCTCTAACTCCTCCTGAGAGGGTCCTTCAGGGATGCTTGGAGGAGGCACAGCCCCCTTCACTGCCCCTCTGTCCCTCCCAGAAATGCACCGGGGTCGAAATTGCCCACTCTCCTTTTCCCTTTTTTTTCTTCTGATCATCTGGAGAAACTGCAGACATCTGAGTCCAGCCTCTCCCCCAGTCGGCACCTGAGTCCAGCCCCCCCCAATCAGCACCAGTCTCCCAGGATCAAGGACCCTTTGCACAGGAGCAGAACACTGCTGTTGTGTGGTTAGCATCACCGAGGGCATTAACCGGGATCCAACGACGCCCTTGTCTGAGCTGTTTGTATTTGGATCTCCCCATTGCTGGCCAAGTACAGTGCTAGCTGCTGGGATCCCTGTAAGGACCACACGTTGCATTTGACTGTCTGGCCCTTAGGTTTGCTGCAATCTAGGCTTCCCATCCTTCTTTTAATTGACATTTTGAAGATCCCATATCTGATGTCTTGTAAAATGCCAGCGACCTGAATGGGTCTGATTGTTTCTTCCTGATTCGGTTCAGTTCAAACGCTTTCGGCTGTGAATACTAAATAGGGGATGTCATGTCCTTATTACAGCACTACCCAACGGGGCATGTAATGTCCCGTTTGTCTATTTTTGGTGACCTACATTGGATTGGTGGTGAAGGTGATGGAGGCCAGATTGTTCCTTTGGGGAAGTCATCACTTCCCATTTGTAACGGACGTGTAATCTTGATGATACGGAGAGGCCTGTGAATGTTCTCCTGTACCCACTGGCTGTTCACCTGCTTGGGAGCTGGGAGACTCATCTGTCTCTTAAAGGGCCAGCACTTCTGCTGGCATATGGCTTATATGTAAGGCCACACAGGAGTCCAGGTGGGTTACTTCTTGAGTGTGATAGCCAAGGACTATCCTTGGTCACTTGTCTCAGGCTCTTGAGACCAACATTTTCTTTTGTTCTTGACCATAGGGACTGGCGTCTCTTCCCACAGAGCTATTTTTCCACCTGCAGCAGAATCTTGGTCTCTGAGGACAGCGCAGTGTGATGGCTTCTAGTCCTCTAGGTGAGGCAGCTGTGTGTGTGTGTGTGTGTGTGTGTGTGTGGTGTGTGTGTGTGTGTGTGTGTGTGTGTGTGTGTGTGTGTTGGGTTGGGGCTGGATAGGGACTTGAGACTCAGAAACATCACATCTGCTATGTGCCAGGGAGCTGCAGGGTGCTGGGCTCTGGCCTTGGTTTCCATAGCAATGGGCAACCTCCTTCTGCAGTCTGTTTCTCTCTAGACCATCTGATGGTCATAGGGTTGGGGACTCTGGACCAGCGACAGGAGGTGGGGAGGTAGACTCCACCAGACCAACCCTGAATAGCTTAGGGAGGAGGAGCCCCAGCTGGCTGGTGGATATCTGGGAGAAAACAACTTTTGGCAACAGTCCTTCTCATTGTGATCCAGGGACCCCAGGGGCCCCCTATTTACTGAAGAATGGATGTGAACACCAGCACAGCTTATAGCCACATCCGGGTGGCAGTTGAGTGTGTGTGTGTGTGTGTGTGAATCCCACTCAGATCCTTGACCTGCTTTGGTCTAGACCTTCTCTGTTTGTATGTGGTCATGTCTTGCTCCACCAGTGAGACCCTGGAGGTCACGATGCCACCGTATGGGAACAGGTGCTGAGGTTCATGGGATTTTTCTCGGGGACTTGTGGGGGTCACATGGCTGGCGAAGGGTGAAGCTGTCACAGACACTCAGAGTAAGATGCAGTGGTGAGCGTGGAGAGCGATGACAGACAGCTTGGGGCATTTGGCCAAAGAGAAGGCTCGCAGATGGCCGAGGCCAGGTCTCTTCAGCACCAGGGTGTGCCACCAGAGGTTCCCTGCTCTCGGTTCACCAATGCTCTCAGGGCAACTTACTCCAGCTGAAGTTCCCAGAGATGGGCGTATCTATCGGAAAGGCAGGGAAGGGAAGACTGGAACTAGGAAGATTCTCCCCTCCTCCTTCCTGTGGCCCAGAATGCAGTTGTGATGGATGGAGTGCCATCAGCCATGCTGAATGAAGAGGTGACCTTGAGGATGGTGGAGCAGAAGCAGAAAGACCTAGAGTCACAACAACTTGCTGGGAAGCCCTTCCTAGCTTAACACTGTCCACATCTGGACTTTTCGGGAATGACAGAAACCTTTGTATGCTTGGGTTACAGGGTCCTGATGCCTACAGGAATGGGTATTTGTGTGCAACTCATCAAGCAATTAGGATATCAATTAGTACATTAAGAAAACACATTCTTCTAAGACTTTCAAGACTGTGTGCTTGTACCCATCCATCCGCTGGCCCGCCAACCTACCCACCCATCCACCCATCCGCCTGTTCATCCTGTCATCTATCTACCCACTCCTCTCCCCACCCACCCATTTACCCACCCACCTATCCATCTATCCACCTACGCACCCACCCACCCATCTACCCAACTACCCACCCACCCCCATCTACCCATTCACCCATCCATCCATCGACCCCAAACCACCAAAACTATCTATCCACCCCAACCCATTTATTCACTGAGCCAACATGTGAAGACAAAACAGTGCACTTACAAGAGAAACTGGGAAGATGGGACGTTCCCTGAAATGTGGCCAGCATCCAAGAGAGAGAGAGAGAGAGAGAGAGAGAGAGAGAGAGAGAGAGATTTACTTTCTCTTCTCCTTTTATCTCTCACCATCCCATGTACTGTCCATGTCCTAAGGGCGTGGACAGTATCTTGGGTATGTGAGCTTTCCCCTACAAACATGTATTGAGGGATCCATGTTTTAAGTGCTCTCATAGGTTCTGGGAACAACAACAACAAAAAAGATAAATGGAACCTTCTTCTGTAGGAACCCCTGGGTGAGCGGGTGGTCATGTCATAAATCCATCTGAGAAGTCAGAGACCTGAGGAACCTGGGAGGGATGACCATCCCAGGTGGGGGACAGGGGAACCATGGACAGTGTCCAATGGGAGGGGATGTTTGAACTGTGGGGTGAGTGGGGGCTATTGGTGATAGGTGGAGGGGAAATACTGAGGAGGGAGATGGGTGCTTGGGAGATTAGAAGCCAGGAGTGGGGTGTATATCTTCCTGGTAGCTGAGTGTGGCGACAACCATAAGGGGGTATGACTGGGCACAGGAGGCCACGAAGGGAGAGGTGGGCAGGGCTGTGGGGCTGACCTCTCTTAGATTCCCATGGCATCTTCCTGTTTCCGTTTCCCCCCTTTTAGAACCTGGGAGTCAGGAGGAGAAAGCTACTCTTTGTCATGCAACCCTCGAGGCTCAGAGGTGGCAAGCACCTGTGCATACCTAGACACTCAAAGCCTTCCTTAGACATCTTAGAATTCTAGCCCTAACTTGTCTTCCATCCTTTTTTTTTTTTTTTTTTTTTTTTTTGGTTTTATGAGACAGGGTTTCTCTGTATTGTTTTGGAGGCTGTCTGTCCAGCCTGGCCTCGAACTCACAGAGATCCGCCTGCCTCTGCCTCCCGAGTGCTGGGATTAAAGGCGTGCACCACCACCGCCCGGCTTGTCTCCCATCCTTAAACTCACCCTAAACTACCTCTGAGCATCCCCCTCGCCCATCTGGCCACAGGAAGAAATAGGAGTCACACGCTAACTCCATGGCAGCCATGGCTTCTCTCCAGCTCAATTCTCTGCTCCTCCTGGCTCCCGCCACCATGGCCTGGTGTGAGGCGGTCAGTCTCTCCCCTGTCGGTTGCTCCATCAGGTTAACCCTCTAGTAAACAGTGGGACTTTCTTTCAGGGCTTTGGGGTGTGCCAGGGGCTCTTGGCAGCTTGTTTGTGACCGGCTGGACTATCATCTTCCCGCCTCGCAGGGTGGCCCTCTTCTGCAATTGGCAGTCATTCCTCTTTAAAACATTTTTTAGCTTGTATTTATTTATTGTATATGTGTATGCCGGCCACAGCATGTATGCGAAAGCCAGAGGACAGTTTGTAGGAGTTAATTCTCTCCTTCTACTTTGCAGGGTCCAGGGACCAAACTCGGATTGTAAGTTTTACCCACGGAGCCATCTCCTGGGGCCCTAATTTACTTCTCTTCTCCCTGGACCCCTGGCTGAGGAAGCATCGGCAGCATGGTGAGGGAGCCTCACAGACTCCCCACCAGGAGGACTTGGTTGTCACAGTGATAAGCCTTTGTTCCCAACTCCCCAAGGACACAGCCCAATGCCCTAGGCTCACACCAGCTCTGTTTCCCTGCCTGCCACCCACACGAAGGCCTTGGCTGCAGATGGGCCTGTACTGGGGGTGGGAACATCAGCAGAGGCAGAACCCTGCTGCTCAGGGATGCTGAGCCCTTTATTTATTTATTTGTTTGTTTCTTTCTTTTTTTTGTCTAACTGTCCTGCCTCACTGGGGCCAGAGGAACCTGCTCACAGGTATGTCCCACATCCTTACTCCCCTCACTGCCTGCTTGCTGTCTGGGGACATGCTGGGAGTATTCAGGGACAAAGCATCCTGCTAGGCCTCTGGATATCCCAGATCAGACCTCAGAACATGGCTGAGAGCCCTACGGAGCCTCTGTGAGTCGATCTGCTCCTTCCCAGATAGGCTAAGGATGGATCTGGGGAGGCCCCGCCTACCTAACACACCGTATAATCCTGTAAGTTGGTTGCAGCCAGGATAAAACCTATGCACTTCTCAATCTTACTTATTTCTTCTTGTCCCTCTTCTTAATTTCTTTTTATTTGGAGACAGGGCCCCACTAACTTGCTCCAGTTGGTCTTAAACTCACTCTTGTCACCCGAACAGGCCTTGAACTTGTAACCCTCTTTTGCATGGGATTGCAAGTTTGTGCCATCAAGCCTCCTAGCTCCCAGGTGGTTATTTCAATGTAAGTGAGTGAAACTCATGTGTTAGAAGAGGCTACACACCTTGTGGCAGGGAGGAGGGAAGGAGGCAGGGATCAAGAGAGCCAGAGAAAGATGCCCTGTTTTCAAGACACGTCCCCAGGGACCCAGTGGAAGGATGAAGTCAGCTCACTCAAGATCCAGTGGTGCCACCAGCTGTGGACGGAGCCTTTAACACCCGAGCCCTTTGAGGGGTACGCTTTATAACTAACCACAACAAATGTACCCAAAGTAGGGGTGCTCACGCTAGGCATTGGGCTGGGATGTCTTCATGCATTCTTCCTGTATCACATCTCAACCACCAGCTCATAGCGAGCACACAGGCTGAGGAAGACTAATGATTTTATTTAAAACCGGTTTTATTGAATCCTATTTACATACCGTAAAGTCATCCGGCTCCAGCGCATGGTTCAGTGGTTTTTAGTGGACTCAGCATCATGTAGCTATCACCATCATGGGCTTCGGGGATGTTTTCTTCCCCATAGGAGCCATTCCCATTCCTCACAACAGCCCGTCCCAGCCCCAGGCAGCTGCTAACGTATTTCCCTGTCTCCTTGGGTTTTCCTGCTCTGGGTATTTCATATGTATGGAAATCATGCAATATATGGGACTGTGGGACTAGTATCTTTCATGGGTGCTAGGTTTTAGAACCACGTGGTCTTGTTATTAAATAACTAATGGTTAAACCCTGCGTTATCAACTGCATTAGGAGGGAATTATAGTTAGTGGACATAATGGTATACTTCAGTAATCCCAGCCCTTGGAGGCAGAGACAGGAGGGTTACAGGTTTGAAACCAGCTTAAGCTACACAGCCTCAAAAAGACCCAGCGGCAAAAACAACAACATAAAAAATAGACAATAAACAAGCAAAGGGCAGGCTGGAGAGGTGATGGGTCAGTGGCCATGGTGCTTATCCCATTTGTAGATGACCTAGGCTCAGTTCCCAGCACCTACATGACAATTCACAACCATCTGTAGCTCCAGTTCTGGGGGGATCTTCTGCTCTCTTCTGGCCTCCTTGGGTACTGCACACAGGTGTCACCATGCATGCTGGCAAACACTCATACACATAAAATGCAGAAAAAGAAATGATAGCTAATGTTTAGAAGATTCTCTCTCTCTGTCTCTGTCTCTGTGTGTGTGTGTGTGTGTGTGTGCATGCGTGTGTGCATGTGTGTGTGTGTGTGTGTGTGGTGGGGGTGCTGCGTAAGAAACAGATACCCCAGACCTGGCATCAGAAGCCTTGAGATCTGATCCTGCTTCACTCTTCCCCTTGTTGGGGCCTGTGAGAGGGTTCAGTCTTTCTCTGGGTGACCTTGTGCTAGGCCACAGGTTCTCCAAGGATGCTAATGCTTGTGCAAGTCATATGGTAAAGATGGAAAGAAAGAGCTATGGCAACTGTTCTTCTGTTGGATGGGAGCACCCGGAGGTGGGAGCACCAGGAGTGGGAGCACCAAGAGGCAGGAGCATCAGGAGTGGCTCAGAACAAAGGCTGGCCTCGTAGTGGCAATGGCCTTTCTGCTGCCATCTGCCCCAGGGTCTCCCTGGTCTTTGGCTAAGCTCCTGGGCCACCGAGGGGAATCATGGTCAGGAGCATCATTGGGTCCTAGGAAGACGGTGTTCACCAGCTTGCTTCTCACCGTCTGCAAGGATGACCGTCAGACCAGCCTTTGTCTTTCCCCTCCCACACGATGGAGCAAATCAGGGCTGTCCAAAACTGTGTGCACCCACTCACGCAGGAGGCAGGTGTGCATTCGAGAGCCTGGCAGACTGACTGCGTTCCTTAGGAGAGTGACAGCTTTTCATTTTGACACCGGGCTCATAGAGCCCAAGCTGGACTCAAACTCAGTTTGTAGCTTAGGATGACCTTGAGATTCTTTTTTATAAATAAAAAAGTACCGTGTGTACGTGTGCGTGGCATGTGTCAGGGGCGTGCGTACATGTGCCGAGCTGCACGAGTGTAGATCGGAAGACGATGTTTTGGAGTCACTGCTCTCCACACACATTTACGTGTGTTGCAGCGTTCAGGGGCTCAGGTCAGCAGTTCCTCACTGAGCCATCTTGGACTGATCTTCCTGTCTCCAGTCTCTGAGTTTTGGGCTTTTATGCAGGTACCACACCATTCGTAGTTTATTCGTTACTGGGGCTCGAACCCCAGGACCGACGCCATGCTCAGGCAAGCATTCTGTGTCCGGGACAGATGTCTTTGAATAAGGAGCGAGGGTCGGAAGAGAGGCAGGTTTCTTCAGGATCTGGAGCCACAGCCCCCTTCTCCTCCCTGTCCCCGGATGCTGCACAGGTGGAGCTGAGGACGGTCACCAGCGGGAGTGGTGAGGCTGACTGCTTGTTTATCCTCTGGATTCCTGCTTGGAACAGTGTGATCTCCTGGCTGGGCCATCTATCGCGGTGGAAACCTTTTCTGAGATTTATCGTCCTGTTCCCGCTGGCTTCGGACTGTGGGAAGGTAAAAAATGTCCTTTTTGAGGCAATAAAATATAAAATGGAACCCAATTTCTCTCTAGGGTAAGAATCATTATGTTTGACAATGGCTGTAAAGTGTATAACGGTGAGGGGTGGGTTCCCTGCAGCAGCCAAGGAGAAGGGGGAGGGGACACCCGCAGGATGGCAATGGCAAACTCACTAACGTGGCCTGGGAGGGGACACCTGCAGGATGGCAATGGCAAACTCACTAACGTGGCCTGGAAGGCATCCAGGGATCAGGGAAGCCACCCATCTGGTGCCCGGGTACCCTCAGGGACCAGTCCCATGAGGTTCCCACATAGATCAAACATCTGCATCTCTACTGGGCAGGGAGACGTAGGGCCATATTGTTTGCTGTTTCTGGCATGATAGGGAGAGAAGAAGCGTGCTCAATTAAATGCAGCTAAATTAAATTGAATGCTAAGAGATTCGGATCTTGTTTGAGAGTCAGTCACTGAGAAACCAGCCAAGTTTTAAGAGTTTGAGTGAACGTGTGTTTGTGTTTCTGAGATACATCTTCTAAAGCACGTATCTAAGGGTACAATTGATTTTTTCCACCCGCACACATTCTCATAACAACGGCCCATCAGATACACAGAACATCTGTAGCAGTCTGCCACATCTGTGCCCTTCCTGAGACTCGTTGCCCTAGCTAAAGGCCAGGGATTCATTTTCTCTCTAGGACTGAACCTCATATGACTGCATCATCATACCATAAACACACTTTTGATTTTCCCTTCTTCCGCCCTCCACTTGTGTGTGTGTGTGTCTGTGTGTGAGTCTGTGTGTGTATATGTCTGTGTGTGTCTGTGTGTCTGTGTATGTCTCTCTGTGTGTGAGTCCGTGTATGTGTGTGTGTCTGTGTGTGTGTCTGTATGTGTGTGTGTGTGTGTATGTCTGTGTCTGTGTGTCTCTGTGTGTGTCTGTGTGTGTGTTAATGCACACATGGATGACCAGAGGACAACTTGAAGGAATCAGTTTTCTTCTTCTTTCATGTGGTTCTGGGGACTGAGCTCAGGCTATCAGACTTGGCAGCAAGCTTCCTGCATGCCCAGCTGTCTCACTGGCCCTGGCCCTGATTTTCCCTTCCTTTCCTGGTCATTATCATCAGGATTCAGTCATGCTGTTCTATGTAGAAGCTCACCCGTGTTTATTATCTCTTGCCATTGTTCACAGTGAGCTCATTCTTGCTGCTGGAGATCAGTTGGGGGCTTTTACTGGGGAAGCTGCTGTGAATGTTCTCACAAGGGGACACATTTTTAAGCAAAGACTTGCTCTGATTAGATTGGCTTCTTTGTGACTTTTGCCCTTTTAACTTTCTTTTTAAGAACTTGTCTTAGATCCATAGAAAAGAGGCAGCCCGAGAAGCTTCCCTTATTTAGACCCCCGAATGCACAGAGAGCCTGCCCTATCCTTAAACCTTCCGCTCAAGTGGAACATGGGTAAATCCAAAGCCCACAGCTTACTCCAGGGGTCTCTCTCAGTGGTGTGCATGCTGTGAGGGGCAGGCTGGCAGACTGCATATGGTACACATACATATGTAGATATACACATATAAAAATAAACCTTAAAAACAATAAAATGTATTCTCTGTGTTATGTATGTATGTACATGTATGCATGTGTGTTTGCACAGGCACACATGTATGTGCACACGTGGAAGCCAGAGGCAGATGATGTCAGGTGTTTTACTTAATTGCTAGCTGCTTTTTTTTGAGTCTCTTGCTGACCTGCAGCTTACTGACTCAGGTAGACCAGTTGACCAGTGAACTCCAGAGTTCTGTCTCTGCCTCCCCAGTGCTGAGATCACAGGGCTTCACCGCCATGCTGGCTTTTCTGCGAGTGGCGGGGATGAACTCAGGTCCTCACAGGCATGCAGCAAGAACTGGGAGTGGTCTCCCCAACGCCATTGAGAGCTCATCTAGTCTTAGTGTTAAATTCTGTCCTATCGTCTGCATGTTCCACAGTTTGTCCACCATCCATCTGCAGGACGTCTTGGCTGTGTCTAAGCTTTGACAGTAATGAGCAAGGCTTATGGTGTACATCTGTGTGCAGGTTTTTGTGTAGCACACATTTCCAACTGCCTTGCGATTCCCAAGGAGCATGCTGCGTCTACACTAAGAGCGCGTTTAGCTTGGAAGGAAGTCGACAAGCCTCTTTGCTGTCCCATCCCCAGTGATGAGAGTTTCTGGTGTCTTTGCTTTGTTCTTATCAACAATGGTGGTGCCAGTGTTTGGAATTTGGCCAGTCCAACAGTTATGTGGTGGTTTCTTATTTTTCTTATTGCTGCTTCATGTCTTTAACTCTTTATTTTGGGAGCTTTAAAAATATTGAAAAATCTAAAATCGTAATGCAACTATACAGGTACAGGGGGATTAAGTAAACACAGATTCCCCAGAACCCATTTTTTAAGGCCAGGGGTCAGGAGACAGCTCAGAAGGTAAAGGTGCTTGCTGCCAATCCTGACGACCTGAGCTTGATCCTCAAGACCTACATGGTGGGGGGAGAGCACCAACCCCTCACATAAATAAATAAATGTAATAAAACATGGGGGCTAGAGAAATGACTCAGTAGTGGTTAGGAACACTTGTGGCTCAGTCATGAGAACAGGAGTTCAGATCCCAGCACCCACATCAGACAGCTCACAAATGTTTGTAACTCCAGCTCTAAGAGGTCCGCCAACTTCTGGCCTCTGGGGCACCTGCGCGCACACACACACACACAATTCAGTTGTGGCGCATTTTGATGGCATCAGTGATCCTTGCTTTTCACGTCCCGCTTCAACTCTCAGTCTGGTCATGGGCTGGCTTTGACCAACAGGAGAACAATGTCACACGTGAGGCACACAGCATCTATGACCTCAGTGTCTTTCCCCTACCCCTATTGTGCACCCCTGAGGATCCTCGTAGCCTGTGAGAGAAGATAGGGCCCTGAAATCCAGCCACGTTGCACAAGCCCTGGCCACTTAAGGCCACCCAGGCTTTAGCCACTTTGTGAGACACACCCAAGGCAGTTGCTTGGGTGTGTCTCACAACCTGCTCTGGTTGGACGAATTTCCTGGCTGAGCTGGCAAGAAATGACAGGACATGGCCATTGTGAGAGTCTGCTATGGATACATTGAGCGCCCACGTGTCGAGGGGGTCCTGTATGGCATGGATACATTGAGCGCCCACTTGTCGTGGGGGTCCCATAGGGCAAGGTCTGACTTACTGCTCTTTTTTGTTGAAACCCTTGCCAGCTACCAACATCCTGGCATTCCTGCTCTAAAGACTTCAGTGTCTGTCCTCTACCGATGCCCTCTCATGTAATAATAACATGGTAATCACAATTCAAGACACAAAACGTGGTAGCGATAATATCATCTAATAATGAGTCCGTATTCAGATTTCTGCCAAGCACCCCAAATTGGCTTTTACAGCTGTTTTATGTATTGTTCCAGACTCCAGCTCTAAGCCGTATCATTCCAGGACACCGCCTCCTCTCTCGAGCTTGTGGGGAGGCAGGGCAGGGTGGAGGGCGTCTGGCTGCCTGGGTTCAAGTTCTTGCGCTGCCCCTGCTTGCCTGTGTGACTTGTGGATGCTGTTTCTCTTCCTTAGGTGAGTGCAGCCGTCTACTTCGTGGTGTTGCTGTGAGCATTCAGGGGCTTACCACACGCAGGTGCCCATACTGTAGGTGACTGTGCAGAGTTGATGACTCTTGTCAGAACGACAATTATTGCTCTCATTGTCTGTTGATCAAAGGTATGTGTGTGTGAGAGAGAGAGAGAGGGAGAGAGAGAGAGAAAGAGAGAGAGGGAGAGAGAGAGAGAGAGAGAGGGAGGGAGGGAGGGAGAGAGAGAGAGAGATCATCCATGTCCAGGTGTGTGCCTAGGTATGGGAATAATGAGGCCTGAGGAGGATACTGAGTGCCCTACTGTCACTCTTAGTTTAATACTTGAGACAGATCTCTCACTGAACCTCACACTAGCCCGGTAGCCAGGAAAGCCCCAGCCATCCTCCTGTCTCTGCTCCCCAGAGTGTTCATGTTGCAGAAAAGCATGTGGCCATACCTGGCCTTTTGTGTGGATGCTGGAGATTCGGACTCAGCAACTCATGCTTGCATAGCAAGAACTGCTATCCCTTTTTTCAGGCTCCCACAATGCTTTTGTTATAGATCCGTCAATATACTTTGCTGAGCAATGTCTGTGACACAGAAGTTAACTTGACACAAATCTAGAGTCACGGAACGTTCAACTGAAGAATCGTCTCAATCAGATTGGTCTGTGGCCATTTCTGTGAGACATTTTCTTCATTTCTCATTGGCGGAAGAGAGCCTTGCCCACTGTGGGCGGTGCTGTCCCTAGGCAGGTGGGCTGAGACTGGATATTAAAAAAGGTATCTGAGCATCAGCAATGGTACACACTGGTAAGCAGCTGCCCTCCATGGTCTCTGCTTCTGCTTCGGCCTCCAGATTCCTGCCTTGAGTCCCTGCCCTTGATGGCCAACTGTGATTGGGACACGCGTAAGCCACACAAACCCTTCCTACTCCCAAGCTGCTTTTGGTCATAGTGTTTACAGCATCAATGGAAAGCCATCTAAGACAACGTGCTTCTCTTACACATTGGGGGATTCAGCATCTTCTTGGTTTTGCTGTGATGGAGGGGAGTGTGCTGGGGGTTTTTTGTTTGTTTTTTTTTTTTTTTGTTTTGTTTTTCGAGACAGGGTTTCTCTGTGGCTTTGGAGGCTGTCTTGGAACTAGCTCTTGTAGACCAGGCTGGCCTTGAAGTCACAGAGATCCGCCTGCCTCTGCCTCCTGAGTGCTGGGATTAAAGGCGTGCACCACCAACGCCCGGCAAGTGTGCTGGTTTTATTTAGGAGGGGGAGATCTGGAATCTAGTCTTTACTTGACCTCTAAAATGTGCTGTACTGACCTTGAACCCCTGATTTCCCCTCCCTTCCTTCCTCCCTCCTCCTTCCCTCCCTCCCCCTTCCCTCCCCCTCTCCCCTTCCCTCCCTCCCCCATCTTTCCCATTGTTGACTCAA